GTGGAGATGTCATGTCCCATGCTTTCCCTTGGGACCTTTTTTGATTCTTCTGGCAGGGTTCTCCCGAGTTGGGTTTAAGCCTAAACTCTAAATAACTAAATCCTTAAATCTTAAACCCCTATAATTATAATTATAGGAAATAATGCATTTGAATGGACGAATGTCCTCCAACCAGATAGGAACCAAAAATTTTTCCACTTTGATAGACGTGTCACATAAAAAGGTCTTGTCTTGACTCACCCGGCCCACATGTTTTTTCTCACATGTAGGTCCCATATAAGTCATATCATTTCTAAAATAAAAGTAGAGTTGTTATTGGGTTAAGTATGCAATCCATAATCTACCGGTAAACGGCATCCTGCCCGTGAATTGAAGTCCCTCGTACGGTGGAGTTACAAAATTCTGACCTAGACACATCGATAATTCTCCCGTTGTTATTTAAAAATTAGAATAACTTTGACTGAGTGGCTGAGTGCAACAACCATAAACGGTACAAAACGGAAAAATGACACGACAAATGCCAAGCTCGCTTAAAGCCTCCCACAACTGAATTTCCTACGCCCTGGCCACGGTGCATACGCCGTGATCATGATACGAACCTAGAGCATGGAAAATTCGGAATGGTCTGAAACTGGAGTGTGGAAATCAAATAGTATGTTAGCATCAGATATGGGCCGAAAAAAATGGGCTTGATGAATAACAATCATTTGCCTGCCAAGGCCTAAAAATGGTCCTTTGATAATTCATTGGCTTGATAATCGGATGGTTTGAATCAACTGACAATGCCCTTTTTCTTGTAAACATTTTAGGCCCATTTCGTTTACAGCAATAGAGGTTTAGAATTGGAATCGGAATGGATTATTCTGATTTCAACTGTTTGGTTGGACATCGAAAACTTATTCTTATTCTTGTTGGAATGGCATTTCTCTCCCTCCCTTAGTAATAAAATCCCATTCTTACTGATTTCAATTCCTATTTCTATTTCTGTCTGAACTAAATAAACCATAGGAATGAACCATTCTGATTCCGATTCTGAAGGATTTTGATTTCGATTTCAACTACAAGTCAAACGAACCCTTAATTCTACCCAACCTAAAAAATATGGGTTGCTCTGATGGTTGGATTATGTTTGAGGCTAAGGCGATCCAATCCATTGCAAATCTGATATATCTTCACTTTGCATATATGAGTATTATTATAAATATATGGGTATATACATCCACATTCATTTCTATATATATGCAGTTATGTATGTATGTATTTGTATGGGTTCAATTATGATATCGAAAAGACATGATACCCAAAAACTTACAAATGTGGTAATCAATCGGATGATATTCATAAAAATTCATTGGTATTTTTATTGGTCAAAGTTGTTCTGGTATAATACCTTTCCACTTTCCAGCATCATAAATCACCAATTTTAAGTTTAAAAGCAAATAATTTTTAGCATGTCCTAAAGCACATCTTTGTCCCTGTATATTGTTATTAGCGTTCATTTGCAAGTGGAATAGGATGCAAATTGCTGAACTTAGCTGGGAATGTGATAAAAACCAAACCCAAAGAGTTGAAAACTCAACCCTAGACAGTAGAGGTGTCAATTGGATTGGATTTGGTTCAATATGATGTAGTCCAATGTGAGTTCATTATAAATGGACTAGGTTCAATTCAATCCAATGGATATTTTGGAATGGTCTAATTCAATGTCTGGACCATCTGATCTATTCAAATTTGTTTTAATTTAGATTGATTTTAACTCAAGCCTGATCCATTGACACCTATATTCTTATCTTCTATCAATGGATCAGATATCATCTCAATCCAACCCAATCTAATATAAATTCATTATGGATAGATCAGGTCCAATCCAATCCGACAAATACTTTAGACCATTAAGTCTGGACTGCTCCAATTCAGTATGTCTTGTTAGTCCGTCCAATCCGTTTAAATTGATTTTGGTTTGGACGAAAATCAGTCCTTTGACACCCCCACCTAGTCCAATATGCTGATTCAAAGCATTCTAACTTTAAGTACAACCTGTGCTAGCAGTCAGCTCATGAGCCGCTTGAATCCCACCTCTAGACAGTCTAGATGTTCATATAAAGACAAGATAAAATCTAACTTTTTCACGAGCTCTTTGTTGCATCGAAGTGGAAGAAGCATCTGCATGCTAGCATTTGTGGAAGGGATGATCATGGGCTAAATCGGACTGAACCCAGGTCGGACTTTGCCTTTATGATAAGAGTTATAGCCTAGGCCGGCCCCGAAACATAAACCTAACCCAGGCCTGAAACATAAGCCGGTGGTTAGTATTCGAAACAAGGACTGCTAGGAGTCGAACTCTGAATTCGACGGTAGGGAAATGAATTCATGGAGTTGCATATGTCGTTGTTCACTAGTTAAAACACGTCATAATAACTAGGCTCGGTCGCTTAGATTGTGTTAGATTGCGGCATTGCACAAAGCATTCAACTTTAATCCCATTTATTGCAAAGTGGGGTTTGCTTGGACCTGTTGGGTTTGGGTTGAACCCAATTCAAGCCACACTTGGATGGTGTCAAGACATGATAGGCCATACATCTGGAATATGTGTCCCTTTAAAATGGATCACCCAACTGTCAGAACAATAGGTTACACACAAAGTTTAAAGATTTATGTGACATATACCTAAAAAAAAAAAAAAAAAAACGGTGCGATTCGGGTTGGTCCGAGTTAGAAGCCGACCCAAGTTGCATGCTGATTTTGTGTGATTAAAACCTTGGATACGGAGAAGATGACAAATTAAGGCAAATGAGGGGCGAGTTTGTTGTTACTGAAGTGTCATAATGTTTTGTTATTATCTTAATAATATGTTTTTAGTAATAAAATACTCAGTATTAAATGATATCCGTGTTTTATAAGGTATTGATAGATTCAGTTTTCTAATAAAAAGAAAATTGAATTGGTCATGAGTGAGTTTAAATAACCCTCTGTGTTTAATGTTTTTTATTTTTTGTAATTAAAAGAATACAGATTTGAGAGAAATGAAAAATAAAAGGAAGTGAGAGAACAAGCTGGCGTTGACCAAAACTTGGGAACAAGTAGACAGAAATAAGTATCCAACATCATATCGGAATCTTCACTCTTCTAATGAACTCTACAAACATCTAAATTTTAGTCGATTGAAAAATTAAAGGAAGTGAGAGAACAAGCTGGCGTTGACCAAAACTTGGGAATAAGTAGACAGAAATAAGTCATATCGGAATCTTCACTCTTCTAATGAACTCTACAAAGATCTAAATTTTAGTCGATTTAATGTGCCAGCTTAGGCAGAATTTTATTTTATTTTCGGCCTTAACTATTGTACCAAGTGTAAGATTCTTCTATCTAATATTCTCCGGGACGTAGAAATTGTTGCAAAATAGTCATTATTTTAGGAAAAAAGGCTATTAATGTAGTGAAATGCAGAGGAAGCACGGAAGCAAAATATGATCCAAAACCAGAGTGAGAATGGGTTAAGACTGTGGGAGCTGGAACTTGCAACATTTGTATCCGACTTTATATTATTTTGGGCTTGGGCTTGGGCTTGGGGTGTATTCAAAATTTGGCAAAATCGAAATCTGAACCCGGTTCATGAATGTATCTATTTATTAAAAGATAAAGGTATGATACCAAAAGAAATTTTACCAATCAGAGAAAGCCCATGAATTTTGATGAATATCAGCTGATTGATTAATCAATTTTTTAGGCATCATCCCAGTTTATTCTATCATGGTATTTGACCCTGATGTAATTACAAGCAAGTCTATAAGTTGGTGGTTACAGCCTTACAGTAGAAGATGATACATGTGACAATGAGATTGGGCTCTGATTTAAAATGCCAACGACTAAGACTAACCAAGCCAGCCTAGCATCGTGGAATTGGAATACACGTTGTATGCAGCCGAACAAAAATAGATGAGGCTGAAGCTGAAATGTCACCAAATACCAACTCCTCCCACCTAAATCACTTAACAAATATAAACCTGCCACCTTTTAAACTTTGAAAGAAAATGATTTCCAATCCACCATGTCTGCTTACCTTCCAACCCACGCAACATGACATTGATACCTCACTTTCTACCCCTAAGCAAAATGATAGTTTCCCTTCTTTTTCTCCTTTTTCTTTCTTTTATTATCAGTAACCAAGTGCAACAACATTATTAACCATTAATCGCTCTTGACTATTGTTTCATCAATCAGACAACATCTCATAATCAGAACCCAGAACCTTTTTTTTTTTTTTTTAGTTTTCTTTACTTGAATCAGAAAGACAGAAACCCAGAAACTTGTGTAGTTCTTCAGTTCATCCCTTTTGGAAGCTCTTCCTTTCCTCGCACCTAACTTACCTAATATATATATATATCAGTGACAACAAGACCTTACCTAGCCATTAATACACAATTCTAATTAACTGCAACCACGAGGACAGAGACAGTGAGTCTGTTGTTTGTAAGTTGTGAATCATTTTCCTTGGAGGGCAATTAAGCAATGCAGTGTTTGTCTATTATATCAATCTTAGGGATAGAAGTCATAGAATAGATTACTCCTATTTACTGGTTTTTGTACAGAATTTGCAGTTTACTGTACTGGCCGTAGATATTCGCCTACTGACTATAAGGGTAGACCCTGGTCCACGTTCATGCAAGATGCAACGTTGTTTGATTTGGATATTCCATCTAGACCATTCCTAGTAGAATGAACTGCCCTGACCTCAGGGTTTCGCTGATGTCATTATCCATCTAAAAGAACCATTGGATTAGAATATTTCACAGGGCACAGGAATAGTATACACTATACAGTGGTGGGTCGGGTCTCCTGTTCGGAGATTCTTATTCAATGGTCACTACATGCCCCTTGGCTGTGGGCCCGGAGTGTAATACATTCTGCATTCATTGCCCGAGCGACACGATCGGTAGCGTACTAACTACAGGTCTACAACAGAAGGGGCGAAATCAAGGATTCCTTCAACCCGTCTCCATCAATTCTCAGACAGTGCTCATTTATTCGACTGGTGTCCGGGACGAGTGAGGGAGAGAGCCATCATCAGCCACCTCCTCCTATTCCTCCAAAAGCCATAAATAAGCGAGTCCAGAGGCCAGAGCCGTAAATATATAAACACAAACAAACAAACAAGCGAATAAAACTGTATCAATGAAGCACCACACATCTCCCTCCTCTTTTCTCAGAAGAAGTCGAGTTTCTCCCTATCTTTTCACCTTCTTCGTTTTCATTATTTTCCTCGCCGTGCTCTACAGCGAGGACCTCAGTTGCCTCTTCAAACTCCCATCTCTACAGCCCGGAAAGGACCCGGAGCAGCAAAAAGTAGGCAGGCCCGCATCGGCAACAGGTGAGTTGTTGGTAAAATCAGTCGAATTCTGATGTATAGTGTTGTTTCCTGAGTTGGTTGCTTTTGGGTTAGAGAAGAACACGCACGGTTGCCATTTGCCGTCGGAGAGACCGAGGGAGGTTGCGATGTGTTTAGCGGCAAATGGGTTCGCGACGAATCGAATCGGCCTCTTTACGAGGAGTGGGAGTGCCCTTACATTCAACCTCAGTTAACATGCCAAGAACACGGGAGGCCCGAGAAAGAGTACCAGCACTGGCGATGGCAGCCGCATGGGTGTTCCCTCCAGAGGTTGGTATTTCTCTTTTTTACATTTACTTGAAATTAATTTTTTTTCTTATATGAAACCATCAACGAATGCGATTTATGTCTGGAATTATTTTTATTTTTTTTTTCAAACTTTTGATTTATGTTTTGAGAAGGAACTTTTTTCTCCATCAATCACTGCGGGATCGCATGCTCATTTCTCTCGGGGTTTTCCACAGGGAAGGAAGAGTATTTTGTCTTTGTTCTTTTTTAAAATTTCAACCACTCTAATTCGTCAATCGGAAAGAAACCAAGATTTTGTTTTCTATGAAAGTTTATGTTAATCAATTCTCTAAATCGCCTTGGTTTCTTCTTTAACCAGATCATATTTTCTCTGTAACAAGAAGATTATGTAAACCAAAAACGTTTATGAATAGATAATTCCGTCGGTGGGACGACTGGCAAGCAAACGATTAGATACTAATAAATGGAAAAACTAGTCCACCCTCAACGGCTAAACCATCAAATTATGGGCGACCTGTGAAAATAAAACTTGGTAACTGTTGATACAACAAACAGGTCCGGCCACCGGCCTGTCGTAAGATGTTCGGCTAATGATTTATAATTGTGTAGTACGAAACTATAAATACAATTATGTACACAGCGGGTTTTGCCGACAACCCATTGACAAAAAGAATAGTAGACTTATGAATTGGACTAGAACAACAGTTGATAGTTCAGTTATATGGATGACCTAGCCAGCAGGTCTCTTGGAGTTGGAGATCTCCCTGAATCAGTGAATCCCAGTCCCAGATGGGCTCAGTTGGTGTTTGGTCTTAGGTGGGCTCCACTTGGGCCTAACAAGGAATGTCCATTTTTGGGTTGGGGGGACTCGGGGGGAGGGCAATGTGTAAACCTCAGAAATTATTAAGGCCCACTAGGAATTTTTTTTCTTCTTTTCTTATCTTTGAAGCCCAGGGTCCAGTGGCAACATTCTTTGCCTGACCATTGTAAGGGGTGTTTTCAAACCCCAGCTCCACTGATTGTTTAGAAAGTATAGAGTGCTTCGAGGTTAATTACGGGCACTTCATGTGGTTCAATGCCTATTCATCTTCGCTGTATCATCTTCTTTGTAACAAAATTGTTCAATTTGACGCAGCAAATAAACAAATATGCAATGGAGGGGGACTCAATATAACTCATCGAATTATCAACCTCACTATAACTTGTAAGAAAAAAAAAAAAACCGTAACAATTGAAATTTCCAGCAGCGATTTTAACTTACAAGGTGTGATTGTCATAAAAACATACAGCTTCAATGCAACATTCATGCTGGAAAAGCTCCGAGGGAAGAGGATGATGTTTGTAGGTGACTCATTGAACCGGGGTCAATTCGTTTCCATGGTCTGTCTCCTGCACAGAATCATCCCAGACCATGCCAAATCCATGGAAACCTTTGACTCCTTAACAGTCTTCAGGGCAGAGGTAACACAATATGTGTAAATGAGTTCTCTTGTTCTCTCTCTCTCTCTCTCTCTCTCTCATGCATATATATTATATATATTGCATACTTATATGAGCTTGACTTAAAATTTTACAGGAGTACAATGCCACGATAGAGTTCTATTGGGCTCCATTTCTTCTAGAATCAAACTCGGATAATGCTGTCATCCATAGGATCGCAGATAGAATTGTCCGCAAAGGATCGATCAACAAGCATGGACAATACTGGAAGGGAGTTGACATTCTGGTTTTCAATACCTATCTGTGGTGGATGACTGGATTGAAGATGAAGATCCTGTACAGTACCGTTCCTATTGCTACGCAAATGCAACGAATGTGCCAGTTCTGAGCTTGTTTTCTATTCTTTTACTGAATAAAATCAATAATGGTCTCACCTCATCTCATGTCATGGCTTCTTTTCCACAGGCAAGGGTCTTTCAACGATGACGTTAATGATATCATGGAGGTATCTACAGAAGATGCCTATCGGATGACGATGAAAAGTATGTTGAGATGGGTGCAAAAGAATATGGACCTTCCGAAGACCAGGGTCTTCTTTACTAGCATGTCGCCCACCCACGGCAAGTGAGTAACTAACTGTACCTCACTCTCACTTCACTTAAAGTAAATAGTTGATGATGAATTTATATTAAAAAGGGAAAATCTATAATGCCAACGGGACAAATTCCCCCATTCCGGTGTCTAGGTGGCACATTGGTTTTATGGATCCAACTTCCATGTAGATCTTGGTTCCTAAAGCCCATTCGGGTGACTGATAATAGGCTTATTATGTTAGGCCCACGGGACAAATTCCATGGTAGCCCACTGTCCACAATTTGCTAGTATAGGATGTAAGTGGCCTTTGACTCCTCCCCTTCCTTTTCCAACCCAGATTTCCTAGTCACTCTCTCTACCCTCGCCCTACCCATACTGTAGCCTAGCCGCACATCGCCATCTTGTATTATGAGTGAAATCTGGGTTCCTGCTTCTTAAGACCTCTGAGGAGAGAGAGTCCAAACCCAAAATAAGACGAAGTATGTCAAACGCATTGGCCCATACCTTAAAAATAGAATCTGAAAATACTGGTCGCAACTCAGAAATACATGCAAGATGAAGCTAACTTTGAAAGAGGGTGACAGGAGCAAAGAATGGGGAGGCGACGCAGAAGGCAATTGTTACAATGAAACAACTCCGATCAATGATCCGACGTACTGGGGATCAGGGTCACGGAAAAGCATAATGCAGGTGATCGGAGAAGTGTTTGATAAATCAAAGGTACCCATCACATTTCTCAACATCACCCAACTCTCGGAGTATCGGAAGGACGCCCATACTTCAATCTACAAGAAGCAGTGGAGCCCTCTCACCCCCGAGCAATTAGCCAACCCAGTCAGCTACGCCGATTGCGTCCATTGGTGTATGCCTGGCCTTCAAGATACTTGGAATGAGCTCTTGTACAACAAGCTTTTCTACCCCTAATTATGAATTATATATTAATTGTTTGTTTCATATAAGCCTTGTGGCTTTGTGAGAGAAGGAATACCAATGGCATTTAATTCTCTTTGTTTAAGAGGGAGGGTTAAGCCAATAATTCCGGAGGAGCGATCTACAGAAAAAAAAATATGTTGTCAAGTTGTTCAGTTATAAAAGCAAACATAAAGAAGATTGGGTTGATTCTTTCAAAGTGTTTTTTCAATAAGACTTTGCCATTACGAAGGTTGTATTTGGAATCATTGTTGTTTGTTTCCAGTAGAAACGTTGGGGTTTATTAGTATACAATTTTGAGAAATTGTCTTGTTGAATCTTTTATGAAGAAGTGGCAATGTTATCCCCAAACATTTGTAGTAGAAGAGCAATGATACCAAACACAACCTTAATCTGTGCAAGTATATCCATGGTAAAGGAACTTAGGGGCGGGCAGAAGGCCTTAACCAATAACCAGTGAAGACTATTAGAGCAACCCAGCAGATTAGAAGAAGTAATCTCCTCATCCTCAAAACTCCTGTGTGGGCGGAGATGGAATTAAGCACAAAGGGGGCGGGATCACATGGTGAGTTGTTCAACACCAGGCGGCACCTATCTTTCCAAATGCATAATGTGCCATATCACAATAGTGCACCCAACAAAGATAGAAATAATACTGGGGTCATGTATATCATCCACATCAGTCCGATAGGAAAACTAGTCCAGATGTACATCGGTTCTAAGGCCCACAGTAGAGCCCATCCAAATGCGCCTAGACATCTGGCACTGAAAAAAGAGATGGGCAATGGACTCCTCAGCCGCATCGCAAAGACTGCAAGCTGGATCGATATTTAAGTGGCTTTTGACTAATGGGAGATTGTTGGTGATGCATAGTTTCGGAAATGTACACTTAAGGGTCTGTTGGTTTTTTGGATTTTGAGAGGGGGGAATTTTTTTTTTCTAAACGCCAGAAAGGCAAATTTTAACAATTTTATAAGCTCAGGTTATAAACTTATAATCAGTACGGACCGGTTTGGTTTGGATCCAATCCGATTTAAACCTTATCAAATCGGATTTAGGCAGTTCATTATAATTATTGGGTTAGGTCAATTCAAAATAAATTGGTTCATATTCTTAATGGTTTGAATTGGACCTAAATCAAATTTCCAATAATCTGATCATGAGGTCAAACCCTTATCCGATTTGAAATCAATTGAAATTGAAGCCAACATAAAATCACTTTTATGAAAGTATTTTTACAAAAGCATTTTTACGAAAATACTTTTATAGAACCACTTTTATAAAAGTAATTTTATGAAGAAAAGTATTTTTACGAAATCACTTTTATAAAATACTTTTATGAAAGTATTTTTATAAAAGTACTTTTATGAAAGCACTTTTATGGTAGTAGCTTTGTAAAAGCACTTTTACACGAAAGCACTTTTATGAAATCAATTTTACAAAAAAACTCTTACGGAAGTACTTTTACGAAAGCACTTTTATAGAAGTATTTTTATAAAAAAACACTTTTATGAAAGCACTTTTGTGAAAGAACTTTTATGAAAGTATTTTTACAAAAGCACTTTTATAAAAGCACTTTTACATGTCTGGAAGTACTTTTACAAAAGCACTTTTACAAAGTGTTTTTGTAAAAGCACTTTTATGAAAATACTTTTATCAAAGTACTTTTACAAAAGTTCTTTTTCAATGCCAAAAGTGCTTTTATATAATTTTTGATATTTCATTCGGTTTGGGTTGGATTGAATCCAATCCATTTATATTTTAATGGATTGGATTGGATTTGAACTGTATTGGGTCCAGTCCATTTGTAAGTGGACTCACATCGGACTGGATCGGGTTGGACCAATTGATACTTCTAATAATCAGTTTCAACAGCAGAGAGAATAAAATGTGGACTGATTGATCAAGTGCGCACACCACACTGGAGATAGAAAGGGATTTCTTTGCGAGAAGATGAGCCACCTGGTTACAGGATCTCACAACGAAAGTAATCGAGAAAGGGGAGATTTGTCTTAACAATGCCCTACAATCGGCAATTATCTTATGGATACGCTAAGGGGAGTTTGAAGAGGACTCCAACAGGGACCTTATAACAATTAATGCATCTCCTTCAATTGAAGCATAGTGAAAGTAAAATTCCAAAGCCACCTTCAATGCTGCTCGAAGGGCTAGAGCTTCGATTTCAACAGTAGAGCAAGGAGGAAAAGGCTTCGATCTTGCAACTATCAATGAGCCCCAATGATCACGAGAGTCCGCATTCTGTGCACCGGTGGGTTCACTGGACGCGTGAACCTACCAATTAGAAACACCCATATCGGCATGCTCAAAATTCACCAACTTAACGGTGCTTTACTCGTTAGTTGAAAGAATTTGGTTGAACCAGATACAAAAAGACAAAAAAAACTTAAAACGCAACTTACATGTCATTTTCAATTTCCTTCAAATTTTTGAATCTCCCTCCCATACTCTCCTCCGTTAAGCCTAGTCCAGAAGCATCCATTGGAGACCGATGATCTCACTAAACTTGGAAGCCACCGGTGGCGGCGCAAAATCAACTTCTTCTTCTTCTGCTGCTGCTGCTATTCGTATCCTCATATTTTTGTTGTTCTAATCAACAGATCCTTATCTTTTTGTTGTTCTTATCAATAGATCCACACCATCATTGATCAAACTGGACCTGGATACTTGCAATTTACACGGGCTTTCTGTACCAGATTTTCCAAGGTCACACTGAACAATCAAAACTCCACTGGAGCCCAAGCTCCTTCGCTCGGGTCATGTAATTATTTGCTCCAATTATAGAATTCAACTAGAAAAGCCATACTTACTCCAAAGTGGGTGGTTGAAGGTTGAAGAGTCCATAGTCCATACTCTCTTAATTTCCATTATTGCTTAAATTCATTAAAACTTGAACCATAATCTACAAACTACAAGTGAAAGTTCATTACAAAAAGCCCTTTTATTAAACATGTAGCACCAATAAGTCAGTCTGGCAGGATCAACACACAAAAAACAACCATGGCATACACAAACTTGGGTCCCTGAGGATCAACTGCTTTCCTCTGCCTTGTTACTCGTCGGTGATAGATGACAGATATGTGCTAGTGGAGTTGCGAGCCAAACAATTAGTACGGATCTCTCCTTGGGTGTCCCTATCAACACACCCAATTGACCCATTTTAAGCATGGCGTACACAAACTTCTTGAAGAATGGGGTCTGGTTTAGTGCAAAGATAGTAACACAATGGGTCGAGTCCTTGAGTCGGTGCACAAATCCTGGTCATTGGTGAACATCCCCTGCTGCTTCATGAGATCCACGTAGTACTTGTTGTCGAACACATTTGGAATTTGGATGTCCAAATCGGTCGTGGTTGTGGGACAAGTGAGCTTGAGTTGATTGGCGAAGAACTTGTCCATGGTGAAGTTTTGGCTGGGATACAAGCGATCGATGAACGATGTACAATGGCCAATACCAATGGTGTGGCCGTCGCAGAGTGGCCTTGAAGTTCTTGGTGGCCGATGAAGTTAGAATAACGCTGGTATTGCTATGGGTAGCTAGAAGGTTAGCCACCGTTTCGTCCCTTCTAGCGAAGCTGAGTAGTGAATCCATTGCGCTTCTACTCTTCGATCCGTCGAGAAGAGAAAAGTACAAATAACATAAGAAGAAAGGGTTCGGGAGTTCCCTTCGTTCAGGTGAAAATTGGGAGGGAGTTCGAAATGAGTATGAATTGTATATATTATATATATATATATATTGATAAATATATTATTAATAATTTGAGTTATAATTTAGTCTAGTTTCTAAAATTAAAAAAAAAAAAAAATGACCAAACCAGAAATTTACAGATTGAGGAATTATCAGACTAAACCAAAATATTTTAAGGCTAGACCATACCATATAATGAACATCTCTACTAGCAGCCGATTTGGGCTCTTTGGAATTTTCACCAAATATAACTTATATTATAAGCTGTTCATGTGAGGCCCAGCTCAAAAAGCCAGAAGCTGCTAAACTTCAAAAGCGAAAAAAACTGATCCAGGTCAATGCCTGTTTTTATATAGTTGAGTAGATATATGTAGGTGAATGAAGAGAGTTCACCGCTTCTTGTTTTTGCAAGTATTTATTTGAAAAATGCAACGGATGAACTGAGCTTCTTTTGGCAACTCGACCCAATTTCTCGTGAAGGATTTTCATAGATCGGTAGCAGAGTCTATGGTTGTGTTAGTCATTTTAGACCACCCCACCTGCATCTTTATAACTCTAAACCCACTAAATACAGGTCTAGTGTATGAATCGATACCTCATCACACTAATACCCTCAACAAATGGACGATTATTGCTTAAATATTTGACTACCTAGATGCTCCTTTTCGGTTTCATTTGTTCCGATGCAAATTTCATTTGCACTGGTATATATGTATGGAGTGTAAATGGGCTGATGTAAATTTTGGTTTAATTTTGTTTCAGGTTTGATGCCTTTGTTTTTGTAAGAAAAATTGGAAGTAAAATGATGTCACTCAACTTCACAAGGAAACAATGAAGGCTGTCTTTTGGCTTTGTTTATTTGCTGAGTAAAAGTATAATTGCACTGATGGAGTTGTAAACTTATGGACCCTTGTAAATGAAAAGTGGGATTATCGATGTAAATATTTACATCGTTTTTATCAAAGTTGCAGTTTATATGGATTCTGATAAAAAACTCGATGTAAGTGAAGTTTTACATCGATTTTTAGAGTTTAATTATACTCCATCCAAAAGGTTACAAAACTGGGCCATACACTTACACCGCAAGCAAATACAGCCTCTGTGAGAAGGGAACGGGAAGTAAAATGATGTGATCCCGCTATATAAAACAAAACTAACAAAACCAAGGTAACGGTGGTGTAAATTTGGCATCCATCCTATCATCTTGGAATATTGCCAATTGATTGCAAACAAGACAAAAAGTGAAATTTTGTATGCGGTATGTAAGGATGCAACTTGGACTGGGTTAGCCCAAACCCAATCCAAAAAAGTGAGGTTGGGCTGGGTTGCCCAGTTAGGTCTTTTGAGGTGGGAGCTTAAGGTTCTGTTTGGAAGGAGTATAAATATAAATATATAGTGTAAAATCTTATATTTTGTATTATTTTAGATGTATTTGCAGTTTGAATATTTGTATTTGTATTCTTTCTAAGGCTCAGTTTGGAAGGTATAAAAATG